AAGTTTAGACTGATATGGTTTTAAAACATGCAGGTAATAAACTTTCATGATGATGAACTGCAATGTCACGTGAGCGTGATCGCAATAGAGATGATAATCAAAACCAAACAGATGTTTTAGTTTTTGGCAGAGTATCCGAGGCTCGAGCTGTAAAGGCTCCGCCCTCTTCTGGAAAGGGGGCGGGGCGCAGCAGCTCATTTGCATTTAAAGATACATGCACGAAAACAGTATGCTTTCCCTTCCACCCAAAAATGATCTGTGGGGTATTTTGAGCTGAAACTTCCCAGACACACTCGGGGGACGCCTGAGACGTATATTACATCTTGTAAAAAGGGGCATAATAGGTCCCCTTTAAGCCAACTTTAATAGTTTATTGTATTGTTATTTTCGTTTGTGTGATTTTTTAATATTTTCTTCAACAGCCCAAGCATTCATACAGGCCTATAGAATGGAGCATAAAACAAATTCATAAGGAAAAAAACTGTAAATAATAAATCGGCTCCATTGCGGATAGGTTCAACATCAGCAATGACATACATCCAAGTTGCATTAAAGATTGGACTTAAATGCAGCCCTAGATGAGCTGCTTCAGGTGTGTTTGATCAGGATTGGAGCTGAATTCAGTGGCTTAGTAAATATCACAGTAATAATTAACTTTATTCACTTAATAAAATCTCTGAATATCATTTACTTGATTGTTTGAGTTAAACATACCAAAATAATTGACTAAAAATCCAACAGTTAATTTTGTCTAAAATGTACAGTTATATTTAAGTTGATTTCACTAAAAGAATTTAGTATTTGACTAACCAATTATTTATTCATAATAAACGTAATATATTTGTGAAATTTCTATCAAAATATTTGAGAATGGAGAATTAAACTGATCTGTTTCAAGAACGACAAAAAATACTTGATTCAAATCTATTATATTTAACACACACTTAAGAAACTGAGTAAGTTTACTCAACTAAAACGTGACGACACGATGCCCTCTCACGTGACGACAACTCACCGGTTGAGCGCGCGCGGGCTTTCCTGTGTGAAATTCATGTGTGTGTATGTTTTATATTATATTTAAAATCATTACTGTGCTTTAAATCCTTTTATTTAATGCTAAATACTGGGACGCAATGTGAGTCACCTAAACGAGTCACGTCTGTCTTTTCGCTGATTGAAATGCCTGATGCCTTATAAAAAACACACAACTTTATTCCTAAAGATAATGAATGTAATTAATTTGGATAAGATGTCCTCAGAACTGTGCACTGTTTGTTTATTGGCAGGTTATGGAGTCAGTCCCGTCGCAGAACCAACGCTGATACGGTGGACATTGGATAACAGACCGGTTGACACTTGAATTACTTTTTACATTTTTTGTTATTACTTATAATATTTTTGTTATATAAAAGTTTAAATGTAGGCAATGGTGTACATGTTGAAACAATATAAAATATGCTGAATTTTTGTACTTATCGACAATAAAGGCCGATGACATGGATGACGTTACACCTGTGGTTGTGTGGAGTATTTTACAAAGGTTTACAGGAAATTAAAAGTTAATATTATCATAAATAAAAACAATTAATATTACTCATAAATATTGTTTTTTTTAGGTTTTCCTCAATTATTTCTACTCAATTTGATTTGTTTAATGTACCAAATATAGTTACTCAGATCTACTTAATTTTTTACTAACCGTACATTTACTCAATTCATATGATATAATGTAATTGATTTCATTGCGTCAATCAATATTTTTAAGTGTAAAAATGTTTCACCCAAAAAAATTGAAAAAATCATGGTACGTTTTTAGAGTGCATGTACAGTAGTGAACACCGCTCCCCTAAGTAGCAAACAGTTTACGCTTCATTATCCATTAACATAAATAAGCATTACTAAGTGTGTGTGTGTGTGTGTTTTGATTGAATCCACTTGATTATGTTCCGGTACGTTTATTACCACCATCCTCACTGCATTCCCTTTTTTAGTTTTCATGGCCTTTAACTTGCACACTGTTTAGAGGACATGAGGAACACTTTTTTTTTTTAAAAACTATTCCCTGATTTGTCCACCTTAAGTAAGGCAGATATATAATATTGTTGAATATTAAATGTCCCCAACTAAGCAAGCCAAAAGCGAAGGCAACAGTGGCAAGGAACCAAATCAGTGACAGAATGGAGAAAAAAACCTTGGGAGAACCCAGACTCAGTCGCTCAGTTCTCCTCTGGCCAATGAGCGAACAGTGTATGATTATGATCCAGGCAGCATTACATGTCAGAAGTCAGATTGGATCAGAACATTTAGAATATTAATCCAGTTCCATCTGGTTGGAAGTCGGAGTCACGCCGGTATGGAGACGAGTTTGTTGAGGATCAGTGCCGATTGCTGTCGTGTCTTCACTTCAGGGATGCGTCATGGATGGGTCCAGGTGCGTCCATTGTGATCGTGTCTAGGCGAAGGTCCTGCATCACATCTCCGAGTGTTGTTCTTTGCTCGGTTTTTAACAAAAAGGAAACGTTCAAATCGCTTAAAACACACGCGATAGCTGATTCGAACGAGTGATGTTCGAAGGCAGCATCCATCATTGTAATGTAGGCTAAAATCTGCTTCAAAATCCCAGCGCTGTCGTCATCGTGTAAAGCCCGCCCCAACGTTTCTGATTGGTGCCTCGATTTCGACGATTGGAAATGGGCTTGAATGAGCTCTTTGCCAGACTAACTTTCAGAGCAAATCTAAATTTGCCGGAAGTTGTCTGGGTTTTCCCAGGCTATGGTTCTGGTAAGAACTCGAGCTGCTGCATTTTGGACCAGCTGTAGTTTGTCTATTATGCGTGCAGGGCAACCACCCAGTAGAGCATTACAATAATCTAGCCTTGATGTTATGAACGCATTAACTAATTGTTCTGCATTTTCAATAAAGAGCATATGACGTAATTTAGATATATTTTTAAGATGAAAAAATTCGGTTTTACAGATGCTAGACACGTGACATTCAAATGAAAGATTGGTATCAAAGAGAGCACACACACACACACACAACCCAGGTTCCTAACCGACGACGAAGACTTGACAGAACATCCATCAAGTGTTAGACAGTATTCTAGATTATTACGTGAGGAAGTTTTTTGTCCAGTAATTAGAATCTGTTTGTTTTCCTTTAGAATTTAGTAGTAGGAAATTACTAGTCATACAGTTTTTTTATATCAGCTATGCATTCAGTTAATTTTGTGAATTGGCAAGTTTCGTCGGGGCGTGAAGAAATATAGAGCTGCGTATCATCAGCATAACAGTGAAAACTAATGCCATGCTTCCTAATGATATCTCCCCAGGGTAGCATGTACAGTGAACAGCACCGGACCTAGTACTGAGCCTTGTGGTACACCATACTGAACTTGTGATCGATAAGACATCTCTTCATTTACTGCCACAAACTGATAACGGTCAGATAAGTATGATTTAAACCATGCTAATGCTTTTCCACTAATGCCAACATAATTTGAGTATTTAAAAGAATGTTGTGGTCGATGGTATCAAATGTAGCACTAACGATACATTGGCGTATCGTTACGAAACTCGTTAAGTATCATCGCCACCATTCCCTGAAGGTACCCACATTTTTAAGACTGTTGCAAGTAGGTGCTGTTACAAGTAGTACCTTTCATTCTATTAGGTGGCAAATAAACAGATTTTTGCACAGACGTACGGTTTAATTTGTTGTAACAAATTACATTGGGGGGTAATAAAGACTAACAACTTGTTTTGATAATGGGAATGCTGGTACTATTTGTAGTCTGAATCCATGAATTTGAACAATGTTAACATTAATGTGAGATGTCACATTAAACAGTGTCAAAGTAGGGAAAAATAGAAAAAAAAAAGTCCCTGACCGTAAACAGCAAATTATTACGCCATTAGATGGCGGCAAAGATAGTCTTTATCAGTGAGTCTCTCAGTAGCAAAGACTTTTATATAGAAAGGACTGAAACTTGAACACGGACAACTGACAAATGCTTTAGCGCTGTCAGGCACGGGAAACCCCTTAACTGTTAAAAGGACAATATAAATCGCAGCGGACATTCAAATGGATTTTTTTTATTATGAACATAGGACTGACCTGAAGGAAAATGCTATGTCTAAATGCAGGTAATAAACTCGCTCACTCGATCTCTCTCTCACACAATACAAGAAGCTTCAATGAACAATATCAATGAGAGCAAACGTAGGTTTACGTTGCTAAGAGTGGTTGCTAGGGGTGTTGTGTAGTGATACATAGAACCGTTGGGTGAAGCGGTTATAGCCGTGGTTATCATGAATAAAACACAGCTATGGACCAATTAGAATCAAGGACTGGAACTACCCGTTTAATAAGCAAGCATAAATAACTGCTAGGAGTCTTTCTGAAGTTCATCTTAATTTAATAATTATGAATGCTTAACACCAAAAGAGTAACATTCACCTGAGTTAACATGTAATGGAAAGTGAAGAGCTTTGGCTTGAACTCCAACTCATAAAAGAGCCCTCTCTAAATAAAGGGTTTAAGGCATTTGTATTTTAACTGGTTAACATTTTCCCTATAAACAAAGCATGACTGTTTAAGACCACAGTGACCAAGAAAACTGGGACAATTAGCATTAAGTAACTCAACTGCATGTATTTACTGTAACTTAAATGTGTTTTGTATATCAAGACAAAAGAACTAAAGCAATAAAAAAAAAAAAAACGTTATGGAACATCTACATAATATAAAAATGCTGACATTTAAGACTGCATAATTCATACATTCACAAAACAAAGGTAATTTCAGAATATGCAGTTTTCCATACTTAGAAAAAATATAACTTATGTACAAAAAGCATCAAATCTTTTTGTTTCATCTTATTTACGGTGATTAATACACGGAAGCATGATGGCTTGTAAGTAAGGTATTAAAGATTAAAAAGATGACTATGATATCACTTTCACACAGTTTTTTTTAATCTTTCTGTTTGTGTTGTTGCGTTGTAACCCAATATATCCTGATATCATGACGTCAAGTGGACCACTGAGTGATGCTTACCGTGACACACCACAATTTCAGTTCAGGGAATCAGTAAAAAGGGAAAAGAAAGCTGGATTCAGAATATACATGGAAGGGATGCAAAAAAGGCTGGAGTCTCAAAGAGGACGAGGTAAACAAGCACCTTTAAGGTGCACTATCACACCTCTTTCTATCCCCTGTGAAACCATTTTTCATGGCTGTCGCTCACTGGAGGCTCCGCGCCTGAACCGCCGTTTTAATGCCTACAAACTGCAGGGCATTCATCCTTCCCAGTCAGAGCTCTCAACATGCTCACTGCACTCTCGCCACCCAAAGTGCTTAATAGCCATTGCTATTCAGATTGATGGAGTGCAGATCTGTGACTTGCATGACATTGATGCCACTGGGCTCTAACCGCGTGAACCCCTCGGATGACAGCGTGCCCATAGTAACTAGCGTCTGCTGGTCGGTGGTCATGTCACCTGTGGCACAGCTGTCAGCCGGGCTCGCGGTCGTGACGGTGGTGTCAGCGGCGCTCACTGCGCCAGCAGATCCTTTCTTATTCATATGGGTCTTGATGTGCTTGGACAAGTGGTCGCTGCGCATGAACCGCTTGGGACACTCCGGGCACGAGAACTTCTTTTCACCTGTAAACAGACAAAGTTTAACAGTTTTGAATCAGCTTGTTCATAATAAGAACCAGTGCAAAACCATGGTTTTTGCAAGGCTTGAGTCTTAATTTGTGAAATAAAAGCATTAAAGGGGTCAGGAATATACAGTCAAACCAACATTTATTCAGACACCTTCAACTAGGGGTGGGCGATTTTATCGATTCTGCGATATAAATCGATATTTTTTCCCCCAAGATAGTATCGATATTTAAGCCGTGAGTTTCGATATATAAGTCCAATTCAAATCCCCCGTGTTTAACTTGGCTCGTCAAGGGGCCGTTCACATATGTGACCCGATCTGGCGAAATGAGTCGGAAGTCGCAACGTTCTATTTTAAGATATGGGCCGATTGTGGAAAAACAATGAAATAATAGATTTTTTTTTTGTGTGCTAATTTCAAAGAACAGACGTTAAAAAATAATCTCCCAAAGTTTCGTAGTCCAGATAATTGAGTAAAGGTATTTAAATTACTATTAAAGTGTACAAAGTTTTACTAAATTCGCTGGAAATGAACATTGCTTTTCTCAACTCCTCTCGTCACCTCTGAGCATTTCCCGGGTATCCCCTGAAACGTCACTATCTCTGCTCTTTAAATGGTGTTACACGTTGTATAGAACCAATCAAAAAGCTTAGAAATCTGCACAAATGCTGATCATTTGTCGATGGGAAGCCGTTTCGACTGACCGGCACGCGATTGGTCCAGCCACCCTCCTGTCAGACTCGCAGCGAGCGCTCTGTGTAATAAACAAGCTAGCAAATCTCCTCAGAAAGATTAAATATTATTAATTTGAGAAATGTCACTGTCAAAAGCGAGCAAAGTTGCCAAAGTGTCATCAAGCCCCCTGGCCATTGCACACTGACTGAGTCCGCGTTTTTTTCGTATGCGTTTTTTCGTATTGATTCGGTGGCTCCGAATTGTCAAAACACCATTCAAACTGCTTGCTACGGATGCGAAAAACTTACGATTGTTTTTATATAACGGATGAAAGTTTCGTAGTGTGCACGCGTGATTGACATAACGTGATTGACAAATGTGAATGAGTGTAGCTATTTATCTGCAAGGAGAATCCATTATGTGTTTGATTAACCCAATATTTAACTGTTGGTATCTCCGTTATGAATTTGTTACGCTGTTATTGTCAACTAGCCTACACTAAGATATGATTGCATAGACTAGCATTATTTGATTAATAATTATTTGATTAATGAAAGTAATATTTCATTACTTTCTCTCTCTCTCTCACACACACACACACACACACACACACACACACACACCCTCTCTCTCAAGCAAAAATGTAGCACCTCTGTTCAATCTTTCTGATTTTAGTACATTTTTGTAAAAGGTAGGCCTACTGTTAAATTATTTATTCAAATAAAAAGTTTTAAAATAATTTGAGCTTCAGCCGGGTTTAATAGCATTTATATATTAATATCTTTGGTCAAATTAAGCTGTAAAATAAATTGAATGTAATGGATTTTGAAAGATATCAACAAAAAACGGGCAAAAAACTTTAAAAGCGATTTTCTCAGGTTTTCAATTGGAAAAAGAGGGCAGTTGACCATAATTCAAATGTGTATATCTTTACAACCATTCAAGGTATGACTTTGACTAGGATATCAATTGAAAGCTTATGGTCTCCTCTTTCCATTAATACCAAAATCTCAATTTTTAAATTTGGGTCACTGTGACTCATTTTGCTGGATCAGGTCACATATGTGTCTTTTGCGCGCTCAAGTTTGTTATTTCAAATGTAGGCGCGCGGCAAGCGCGCTCATAATTGAAGCGACGCGCTCATTTTCTCCAGGCGCAGCGAGATGAAAACACCTCAACTTTTCAGAATGGCGCAAGCGCACCGCAGTTTATGTGATAACCAACCATCAGTTTCACCCTTTCCATAACAACATTAAAAGCTCGGTCAACATGAAGGACGGGGGTGCACCCAAACACTACTGGTGTTTTTCTCTACTCCGTAAATAAATCTTGTAGCAGAGCAGAGCTACAGCAAGCGTTTTTCGGTGGTGGAAATCCATTAGCTACTAAAACCTCGTTCTTTGTCGTTGTGGAGAGCACAGTTCATGGTTGCTTAGCAACGACAGACGCCACGGGAAAATCGGACCGAATTTTACTATTAATAATAAAAGATAAGCTAAAGTGCATTGCAAATCATGTCAGTAATTTATCTTTTTATAAAAGGCTGAAATATGTGAGGTTTATCTTTTTATAAAACCTTTTTTCTCAAAACTTTATTTGCACTTTTTAACTCTCCATTGTTAATTGCAATACTGCACTTTATTTACTTTTCAAAGACTTGCAAGCTACAGTTTGCACTGTTTCAATAAATGGAACTAATTTTCTCAACACATCTTTAATTCATTTTGTCCAGCATTTGCAAGCTGTAGCTCTGTCCAGTCAGAGACATATATTGTGTAATTGATGTTTTTAGTTTTCAGTTCAATTCAATCAAAGTAAATGGAACACTCACAAGATGTCACCAAAATCACCCTGTCCCCTTTAAATCTTTCAGAAAATGATGTAAGTATATCGAATTATATCGAATCGTATCGTTGGCTGAATATCGTGATATATATCGTATCGTGAGATTAGTGTATCGCTACAGCCCTACCTTCAACATTTCTCACATTATCACAGTTTATTCGCTATAGTTTAGAAAATGGTAATAAAATATGAAAAGAACATATTTCACTGGTTTTGTCCGTCCTTCTGTTAGACTGTCTCACAAATAAATTATGTTGAATATCTGTCAGCTGTTAAATTAGATAATACCAATTTAGCTCAACCAATTACCAAGAAATGCTTAATGTTGTTCAGTGTGTGGTGTAAAAAGGTGCATTAGCAGTTAAAGAGGTCAAAGTGTCTGAATAATTTTTGGTCCCAATTTTTTATAGATGGTACTGGTAGTCACTGTATGAAGAATTTTAGTATAATATGTAGGGCTGTTGGAACGAATTCCGAAATTCGAATATTAAAAAAATCAATACTATTCGAATGCTGAAGTTACTATTCGAATATTGTTTTTTTATGTATATATATTTTTTATTTATATATATAAACAGGAAAGAGGCCGCACTATGCATAAATTGTTTTATTTGCACAACGTTTCAGGAAGGCACGCGCCGAAACGCGTTTGTGCAAATAAAACAATTTATGCATAGTGCGGCCTCTTTCCTGTTTAACATTATATATTCTAATCATCAGGCCAGCATTCTTAAAGTTTAAGTTTAATCATTGAGTGAAGCCTGCTCCTATTCCCATTCATTAATTTTTTTTATATGGAATCTTGCCTTTCTCGCCACCTTGACTTACACACATGTGAAAATGAAATGCTTTTGTTTCGTCTGATGAACAATAACGTTTTTGAATCGTAACACAATTGTGCACGTTATCCACGCTGTATCATCATAACAATACTGTCAAAAATGGTAAATGTTTAACAACGTAAAAAAGCGCCCGTGAAGCGCAAATATCTTGGTGAAAACTCAACGGATTCGGCGAGCACCAAACTCGTTGGAACCGTCTAGTCGAACTGAAAAGAACGATATAAGTTTCAGAATTTTTGGTGGTGTTTTAGCGGAGATAATAGCCGAAAACCATCGGTAGCGCTTCAACCACATTCAGCACGAATAAAATGTTTATTGTAATGTTAGATAGCCCTCTAGTGGACAGAACGTGTAACAACAACCACATGCTATAGTGGCATTGGCGATCCATAAGCCTGAGTAATGTCGTAAATATTAATAATAGGATGAATTTGAGCATTTAATATTCGAAAATTATTCGAATATTAAATAAAATAAGGAATGGAATTCGAATAGTATTATAGAGGAAGATTGACAGCCCTAATAATATGTCACAGTTTACTTTATTTTGCTCTCCTCACTTACATAAATGAACTATAGTGTCCTGCAGCCACTAGTAAAAAATATTAAAATTATATCTGGTGTCTGAATAATTTTTGATTTGACTGTATGCATTTATATAAGAGGTTGTTTTGCTATAAAAAATACTGAAAGTTTCAGAACTCAAACGTTCCTTGATAGCATTTAAAATCATCTTTTATTGATACCAAGCTGCCAAACGACTCGTTATACACTTGGGGTTTCACTCCCTGATGTCAGTTCACCTTTTAGTGCTTAATCTCATTCTGTACACAAAGTTGAGTCATTTACAGGTGTGACAACCGCATTCTACAGCCGAATTAACTCCTGAAAAATTCAGGTAGTTACAAACAAATTTACAAAAATACCATTAGATGTCTACAGCTCCAAACTGAATAACTAGTTGTTAATGGCGTATTTAAATGCACATCAGAGATGCGTCTCTGTTCTGTACGCGTGCGGTGTACGAAAACCAGAAGGAAAGTGGTACAAGCCTCGGCTTATTCGTGTTGCCAGATCTTTCTAGAAAAAACAAGCCCATAATAAACCAAGATAAATGCAAATGCATTTATGCAAATGCATTAAAAATAGTCATTTAAAAAACTCATTAAGCCATGAAAGAAATCGTTTCTGTACTAGCACGCTCTCTGACAGGCATATGTGTCCTTGATAACCCGGCTGCCTGAACGGTCAAATACACACAATATTATCAATGTCCATCTTGATGAGTATTCAAATAATAAAAATTCTTTATTAGGTTAAAAAGATAATCTTAATCTCTGCATTCTTAACATGGAAATGCTGTATAGCTGGAAATAGGTTTATGGTTTAAATATAGGTTTATAGGTTTAATTTGGAAATAGGAAGGCATATAGGTTTATTTTCGTTTTGTTACATTATTTAGGCTATTTTCAAACACGTCAAGTGTACAAATAAAAACATAAGAAAACACAATCTATTGAGTCAGCATAATAAAGCCGTTAAAGGGCCTGCTCACATATCGTGTCTTTTGCACGCTCAAATTCGTTATTTCAAATGTAGGAATTTGAAATAACGAATTTGAGCGTGCAAAAGACACGATATGTGAGCAGGCCCTTTAACGGCTTTATTATGCTGACTCAATAGATTGTGTTTTCTTATGTTTTTATTTGTACACTTGACGTGTTTGAAAATAGCCTAAATAATGTAACAAAACGAAAATAAACCTATATGCCTTCCTATTTCCAAATTAAACCTATAAACCTATATTTAAACCATAAACCTATTTCCAGCTATACAGCATTTCCATGTTAAGAATGCAGAGATTAAGATTATCTTTTTAACCTAATAAAGAATTTTTATTATTTGAATACTCATCAAGATGGACATTGATAATATTGTGTGTATTTGACCGTTCAGGCAGCCGGGTTATCAAGGACACATATGCCTGTCAGAGAGCGTGCTAGTACAGAAACGATTTCTTTCATGGCTTAATGAGTTTTTTAAATGACTATTTTTAATATTAAGCATATCCCCCGTTTCTGTATTGCACTAATGCATAAAAATATAGGTGTCCTACAAGCTCCAAGGCTGTACATACAGTAACAATACAGCACAATCTCCATTTATTTTCCCATGCCATTGATGAGATTTTCTGTCATTTATGTGACGCTTTCCTGTCATTGATAAGTTTTTCCAGCAATCATACAGCAGGGGGCGCTGTTACAGATCTTCTGAAATAGCACAGCATCTCTGAATCCAAAAACAAGCGAAAATCCACATAAACCAGAAAGAGACTAACATATTAATACAAGAAAATATTTTAGGGGCTACGAGTAAGAGTATGAGTAAGATCAAAAAATGTTGGCGGGCACTTTTTTAGTAAACGCTGGTGGGGAAAGTTAATTGACGATATATATTGTATATTGATATATATTGTCATACTGTCCAGCATTCCACGCTCAGTTAAACATTCAAAAATGGGCTTGAACCGAAACGCACAGCAAACTTTAAACTTCATGAGATTACACAGCAGTGTGAGTATCGTGCTAAACTCACCTGTGTGTGTCCTCTTGTGTCTCTGCAGCTCATCAGAGCGTGTGAAACGTTTCCCACAGAAGGACCAGGAACAAACGAAGGGTCTCTCTCCTGTGTGCCAGCGTAAGTGTGCCCGTAGATGAGATGTTTTCCCATAAACCTTGGCACACCCAGGAATATGGCAGATGTGCTGTTTCTTCTTAGTGGGGTCATTGCTGCAATAAGAGAAGAAAAAAGGACACATTTAGAAACTCAGCTGCAGTTTAAAGCTGCATATAAGGGATAATGTACAGTCAGGTCGTTTAGTCAAGTCTCATTAATTTATATAGAGCTTTATTTGTCTAGTTTTGGTGAACCCAGTTTGGTTTGAGTTACTGTTGCCTTTTCTATCAGCTGAACCAGTCTGGCCATTCTCCTCTGACAAGAGCATCAACAAGGTATTTTCGCTCACTGGATTTTCTCTTTTTCAGACCATTCTCTGTAAACCTTAGAGATGCTTGTGTGTGAAAATCCCAGATCAGCAGTTTCTGAAATACTCAGACCAGCCCGTCTGGCACCAACAACCCTTTTTTCCCCCATTCTGACGCTCGGTTTAAAATCCAGCAGATCGTCTTGACCATGTCTACATGCCTAAGGGCCCGTTTACACCTGACCACTTCATGCGGTTTCTGTGACCGGATAGCTATCGGATCGTGAAAAGGCCAGGTGTAAATGCCCTCCGAAACGCAATCGAGATGGATTTAAATCCGATCGCTGGAACCACATCAGGAGGTCTGAGACGCGTTCCAGACGAAACTGGACAAGTGTAAATGCATCTGGTTGTTGAAACCACAAAAATAAACGTGTGAGGGTGTTATAGGCTGTATGTCAAGTTGTAGCCAGATATTACGGCGTATCACCGCAGCTGAGCATCTATTCATCAAGCTAACGCGCAAACTATCGCAAATCACAATGAAAGTCAGTCGCAGATGCCGAACACACAATCATCTTCATTAAAAGTAAAGAACCGAAATGATCTTACCAGGGCTGTTGCCACTCTCTTTTATTGCGGTCTTTGGTTTTTAAATTACCTGATGATCAATAAAATACAGCATATTTGTTACTTTCGGTGACGTGAACTCCATTAAATCCGCATATAGGGAATTGAAGATCGGATTTTTATCCGTCTCGCGAAAACACATTTATGTGACCAGGTGTAAATGAGATCATTTTGATAAATCAGATAGCTAACTGATCAGTAAGAACGCATGAAGTGACCAGGTGTAAACAGGCCCTTTAAAGGCACACTGTGGAACTTTTCAACCTTTATAATATATTACCAAAACCCATTAAGATGGTACATCGACTTACAATAGGTTGAATGACACGTCTGCCGTAGCCTGAAGGTGTCTGTATCGCTTTTCCTAGCACTATGTAACTTCGGGTTTCGGGTAGGAACCCGAGCACAAAAAGAACTACAAAATTCGACCGCTTTACGGCATACGTCACTTCCCCCACCACCCACAACTTCCTCAGATTCTGACCTGAGTGCTCAACTCGCGTTTGATTGCCGTTGCCGTCTGTCTATTTTATGTTTTCGTCATGGCCGAACCAACAGCTACAAGGAAGAAGGCAATGGTTTTGTCAGAGGACACTAAAAGAAAAAGGCATAGTGACAAATGAAAAGCCAGGACGAGGATCGCCATTGGTCCAGCGTTCGCTCGCTGGCGTGAGCTACAGGAGGAGGAGGGGTGCCCGACCGATGCTGACGCTTGCCTGCACGCAAATGCCGTTTCCAAGGTGACCCAGATAAATCATATAAGTAGTGTAGTATTTTCTGGTATTCCGGCCACAGCCGATGGTGTTATGAGTGTAATAAAATGCCCACAGCCCATTGTTCATTTCTACACACAAACACAGCCCGCCACAGTGCAGGGCTCGCACAAATAAAGTCGACTCATGTCAAATGTACATTAAATGTAACGTTAGTGAACGTGCCCACGACTCAGTGCCCACAAACACTACACACAACATGTCCCACGGTTTCTGTAAAACGAACCCAACACACATAAGTTACAGTCAGCTCAGGCCGACGGTGTTTTTAGTGCAGTAAATGTGCCCGCCGTCCCGCGCCCACATTCACTCACAGACATGTCAGCACTAAGCCCCACGGGGCTCGCCCCGCTCGCTCTCTCTCAGCAGACTGCTATAAGGGAATCGAGCGCGGCAAGGCTGCCCACCTCAAACACTGCAAGCACACACAATCTAAAGACACGGGAGGCTGACCCACTGTCTATGGGCTGACCGGTTGACTTTTGCGACAGTGCTGCGGAGCTTGTGGCCTCTAGGGACGCTAGACGTGAAAGTTACAGGTCGAGCGCCACTAGTGGCCAAAAGTTCCGCGGTGTGCCTTTAAACTTAAAAAAAAAAAAAAAAAAAACACATCTATACCTGTTTTTTTTTCATTGACCTGCATCTTGTGTTTTTAACTGCAAAAAAGTGTTCTGTGTGAATGGCCGCTAAGACTCTCACTTCCGAATTAAACAGCGCACCTGTCCAACCTGTCTCCTCAATTGACCGTTCGCAAAGACCACAAGCCACACCGCTCTCACACACACCATGTTCTCACGCAGTGAAACACACATCGCGGAGCGGAGAGGACACTGAACACACTGACAGACAGCACAGACCAGGTTACTTTTGATATGAAACAAAGTCTCAACTTTCAAATTTGGTCATTTTGTTATGAAATTTAAACAATAAATACCTTCTTATGGCTCTTTAATTAATGTCTCTGACAAATCGCTAGAGCCTCAGTTAAAGCTGCTCGTGAACCGATCATCTCTTCCTTCTAGTTCATTTATAGCAGTGGTTCTCAACCTCTCCTGCAGGGACCCCCTGACACACCATGTTTCTGTTTTAACCCTGAAATGGCACACCTGATTCAATTAATTAAAGGCTTAATGAGTCATTATTAGAGTAGGAAGTAGGAATTAGTTAATTGATCAATTAGTCAACTACTCATTAAGCCTTCAATTAATTGAATCAGGTGTGCCATTTCAGGGTTAAAACAGAAACATGGTGTGTCAGGGGGTCCCTGCAGGAGAGGTTGAGAACCACTGATTTATAGCATCAAATAAACATGGATGAGCATAAGAAGGAATGTTTTTTTAACCGCGGAAAGACATCAGTATACACACTGTTTTTCAAGTTCAAATCCTCCAACGTTAATCTACTAACTCTCCTGACTGCTTTGTCGGACAAAAATGTCGGATTGTGACTGGTCAGATCGCCTGTCAATCAAACTCCCAGTGAAGGGTCCATTAGAATGGATGTTGAAGCTTACAAGCCTTTGATATTATAAAAGTATTGTGTTAGCTTTAGCCGTACCGTCCCTCTCCGTCTTTGCAGTACGGGCAGGTGCAGGCTTCCCTGCGCGTGCGTCTGCTGGTGGTGGTCGGGCTGCCCTCCACATTCTCATCCATCACACTGTTGTCCTCCAGACCGTCTCCCCCCGCACCACTCACTTCACCTGCGGAACAAACGCCAAACATTACACCTCTACACATGCCAAACACAGCAACAAGCAGCCAGGAAAATTACAGATAATTAACAAAACTGACAAATGTAAGGGAACGGCTGCTGCTGACAGTGAACAAACACTTGCTAGTAAAGAGAAGATTGAACTGGCACTACAGCGATCTGTCACGCCACACTAGCACCAAAACCACATTTATTGTTTCAATTTCATAATAAAGAGAATTTAAAAACTCAGACTTTGTTTCATATCAAAAGTAACAAAGCACATAGCTTATTGTGAGTCTTGGATGGCAAGTGCACTACAAATAATAATTAGTGAACCTTTGTTCCCGCAAGAATACAGGAATTTCCGGATTTTAGACTTGATATAGGTTCATCAAAACGAAGATAAATTAAGTGCAAAGAGACGTGCAGTTTGTTATAACTAGGGATCAGAGGTCACGTTAACAGGAATTTTTTTAGCAATGACGGAAATATATGAAATATTTTGATAGATTACACGTGATCTGATTGTAACTTATAACTGTAACTCTCACCCCTGTCCACTTGGTGGCGAGTGCACTTTTGCTGTCAAGTAAATGTCAACGAATGGCTTTTCCGAGTTACATGACATTGTTTATTGACATCTTTCTGCGGTTGAAACACTGATTGAGCGATTACACGAGAGAAATGATACGGATTTCGGTAAGTTGAACTTCAACGTATTTTCTGATGTGCATTCATGTTTTTTTTGTTCTGTAACGTAGTAAAGAGGAAAGGATACTCGCGTTCCGCTTCACTTGAACTGAGGCGCTAAACTTTGATCTCCCAAGCCACATTACCGCCAAAACGGTATATATAAAATTGACAGAATTTGAAAGCTGAGACTTTTTATATCAAAAGTAACAATCAAAAAGCTTATTGCAATTTATTGGACAAACATTCATAATGGAATCTGAAAAGTGACCCAGAGTCTCTGTTCAACTTTCTCTTAATAAATAAATAAATGCATAATCTACCCTATTGTCCTGTAAGTTCGTGAATAAAAATGAAAATGTGAACAAAAACAGAGCCTATTAAATGGCTTATTATCATTAAAATATGAAAATTAAAATCATGACGGGTAATAATAGATTACGTCAAAATGACGGACAATGTGGAAGTCTAACACGACCTCTGCTAGGGATGCACCCCTAAATGAAAACTCTGGGTCGAAACCGAAATGATAATGATGCGCTATTGTACTTCTGCGGGGCATATTTGGCGTGTGTGTGAGAGACACCCTCTGGTGTTCAGATGATTTGGTGTGTGTGAGAGACGCCCTCTGGTGTTCAGATGATTTGGTGTGTGTGAGAGACACCCTCTGGTGTTCAGATGATTTGGTGTGTGTGAGAGACGCCCTCTGGTGTTCAGATGATTTGGTGTGTGTGAGAGACGCCCTCTGGTGTTCAGATGATTTGGTGTGTGTGAGAGACGCCCTCTGGTGTTCAGATGATTTGGTGTGTGTGAGAGACGCCCTCTGGTGTTCAGATGATTTGGTGTGTGTGAGAGACGCCCTCTGGTGTTCAGATGATTTGGTGTGTGTGAGAGACGCCCTCTGGTGTTCAGATGATTTGGTGTGTGTGAGAGACACCCTCTGGTGTTCAGATGATTTGGTGTGTGTGAGAGACGCCCTCTGGTGTTCAGATGATTTGGTGTCTGTGAGAGACGCCCTCTGGTGTTTAGATGATTTGGTGTGTGTGAGAGACGCCCTCTGGTGTTCAGATGATTTGGCGTGTGTGTGAGACGCCCTCTGGTGTTCAGATGATTTGGCGTGTGTGTGAGACGCCCTCTGGTGTTCAGATGATTTGGCGTGTGTGAGAGACGCCCTCTGGTGTTCAGATGATTTGGCATGTGTGAGAGACGCCCTCTGGTGTTCAGATGATTTGGTGTGTGTGAGAGACGCCCTCTGGTGTTCAGATGATTTGGTGTGTGTGAGAGACGCCCTCTGGTGTTCAGATGATTTGGCGTGTGTGTGAGACGCCCACTGGTGTTCAGATGATTTGGCGTGTGTGTGTGTGTGAGACGCCCTCTGGTGTTCAGATGATTTGGCGTGTGTGTGTGTGTGAGAGACGCCCTCTGGTGTTCAGATGGAGCAGGATTTTTCTACCGTTCTTCACTGACAAGCTGCACATAAAATAAATCGCAGCCTTTGCCAAATCGCGTGCGGTTTCATTGCGATTAATCGTGCAGCCCCAAAAAGAATAGAATAAAAAGAATAGAATAAAAGCAAAGCAGACTAACCTGTTGTATTGGAGATGGTGATGGGAACCCCTTGCAGCTGATGCATCAGTCCTGCGCTGCCAAGCGTGTTCAAGTTGATGGTCTGAAGGCCAGAGAGCTGCATGGTTCCTGGTGCCCCCGCCTGAGCCAGTGTGATCTGGGCGTTAGCAGGGCTCTGCAACTGAAGGGTCTGCCAGCTGACCTGGCCATTCGGACCCACGGTACGGATCAGGATGGGGCTTCCGTTCGCGATGGTCTGGATCTGAACATTTTGCACTCCATCCTGAGACAAAGTCTGTGTTGCGAACATCTGACCTCCGGCCGAGACCGAGCCGGGCTGAACGGTCTGCAGGACCTGCTGTGGCTGAATGAGGAACTGTGCTTGACACTGTTTCTGCCCGTCTCGATTATCAGATGCGGCGGACATGTTCTGGAAGGGCTTTCCCGCGTCTCCTTTGCTACTCTGGGTTAGTGTTACGATGCCTGATGTGGCCGTTCGTGTGCTGGTAGAAGTAGTGCAATACTCCACTGGAGTTGTAGACGACGTGCACTGGAGAAGCTGTTGAGATGTTCCTAAATTTCCTCCAGCGTTCGGATCACCTCCAGGTCCGACAGGCGTACCAGAGCTAACCGGGAGAAGAGTGATGTTAGCATTCAGAGGAACAGGCATGTTGGTGAGGAACTGTGTCTGATTGGGAAGCACAGTCCCACCCAGACTGATGTTCTGCAGAGGTATTGCTTGCTGGAAAAGGCCTGGGACGGTTAAGATGTTTCCAGCACCAGTACCTCGGTTAGCGGGGGCAGCGATGAGCTGCTGGTTACCATTAGGCGAGGACACGAGCTGAAACTGCCCAGCTGCTGGGTTTGACGCATCCTGAGCTGTCTGAGCAAACTGGAGCTGCTGTCCATCTACAGTCTGAAACTGTGGGATCACCTGATACTGGATATTTGGCATCACACCAGAGAGGGCAGTGAGCACCTGTTGACTTTGTAGGTTTTGTGAGGACGCCATCACATACTGGGGTTGCACCAGAGCTCCAGTCTGTCTGCTTTTGTCCTCCGAGGGAGAGGTTGCGCTAGTGGAGCTGGTGGCAGCCTGAGAGCTTGCGGGTATGATGTGCCAGCCGTTGGAGGCATGTGACAGATGAGGGTGCTGGAGCTCGATCTGTGTGTCCTGTGCCTGGCTTTGCCGTGTCTGTTGTTCCACAGTGTCGTTTTCATCAATCCGACTGCAAGTGGCTGCTAACAGCGCTAAAGGTGAAGGCTGCTGCGAGTCCTGGGGAGGTAAACGTGCTTTTGAGCCATTTAGGAGATCATTGTTATTGCACGTTTAAAAAAAAATTAAATTTAAAATTAAAGTCACCTAGTTCAGTTTATTTATACATTTACAATACATTCATATGATCATCAAATCAAGCTTTTTTTTTAAATGACAGAACTTCAATAATTACAAATAAAATGTTGTAACCATGTATGTAGAGCTGGGCGGTATGAAGGTATATATCGTTTGCATCTATAATTTTTGACAAAGAGAAACAAAAAGCAAAAAAACAAGTGTTAAGGTTGTATGTTCAGAGGTAGAATGTTCTGCACACACATTAAGTCTTCTGAAAACATGTTATTGTTGTTTCTTTTACCTGTAAATGTAAAATAATCGTTATTATCATGACATTCAAACAAGAAGAATTCAAGGTAAAATTGAGGTCCAACAAAGAATATTTAAATACATAATTTTGTAAAACTTGTCTGTTGAGTGCATGAAGTCAGAATCCACTCAAAATGCTGGAGTTTTTGTGCAGCACAAGCTCATTGAGTTCTGCACGTACACAAATAGTGGAGACACTATGTAAATAAGAGATTCTTTATGCAGTGTAGGCAGCTTATTTGATTACAAACGTTGTTTTTTTTTTTAAATCCATAAATTTTGTTTGAATAAAAAGACATTAGGGCTGTGCGATATGAAGAAAAAAAATATACTATCACGATTTTTTGATCAATATTGCGATTTCGATTTTAATCACTATTTTAAAACAATATTTCCTTACACACATACAGTCAAACCAAAATTTATTCAGACACTTTCAACATTTCTCACATTATCACAGTTTATTCGCTATAATTTAGAAAATAGTAATAAAATATGACAAGAACAGTTATCAAATCAGTTGATATTTCACTGGTTTTGTCCGTCCTTCTGTTAGACTGTCTCAGAAATGAATTAGGTTGAATATCTGTCAGCTGTTAAATTAGATAATACCAATTTAGCTCAACCAATTACCAAGCAATGCTTAATTTTGTTCAGTCTGTGGTGTAAAAAGGGTCAAAGTGTCGGAAGGTCAAAGAGTCGGAAAAATTGTCCCAAATTTTAATGCATTGTACTGGTAGTCACTGTATGAAGAATTTTTAGGTATAATATGTCAGTTGACTTTATTTTGTTATCCTCACTTACATAAATTACCTATAGTGTCCTGCACCCACTAGTAAAAAAATATCGACAAATTGTCTCTGGTGTCTGAATAATTTTTGGTTTGACTGTAGTTGTGTGTATACTTTTTTTGGAAGCCGGCTTTATTGCCAATATGCGGGCACCATATCTTTGCATAAACTTTATGTTGGTTATTTCTTTATGCCTTTTGCAGCATCTCACGCATGACACAGCATTCTACACAGCGCTCATAGTAAAAGTTCAACTTTTAAAAAAACGTGTGAATGGCCCTTAAGACTCTGTTTTGCCGCAGTTATGGTTTGACAGGTCTTGCTGGCTCTCATCATCTCTCCTGTATCTAAAATATTCCCAAAGCACAGATCTTGATTTTTCTTTTTGGTCCATATTCTGCCCTGAATTCTTTTTGCCGGTTTCTTCCATGTAAACGGTAAAACCACCGTGTTCTGTTCTTGCACTAGATTAAGGCACTCGGACTGCATTCAGATTGCACACACTTACAACAGTTAGTAAACATTAACGTCATGCTTACCAGTTATTCCAAGCCTATTACATCTCTGTGAGTTGTTTCTCTTAATGGAATCAAAATAATTGGTGCTTGATAAGTGTAGACGTGCCTGAAAAAAACGAGTGCGCCGCACCGCATGAGCGTTCGCTCTCTTTGAGGCACGCTTGTCGCGTCTATATTTAAAATATCGAACTTGAGCGGGCAAAACACGCGGTGCTGGTGAAAAAAATCATGCTTTCTGCGGTTTAGAAATCGCACATCCCATTGCGAGTTTATTACGATTTCCATTAATCGCACAGTCCTAATAAGTGTGTTGCCAATCAAATGAAATCAGTATCAACAAATCCATTGTTTTGCACTGCAGAAGCTGCATCTGTAGTGTTTATATACATTTACTCTGTTTTATGCAGCTCAGAGGAGGCATAATGCTATGTGATTGTTTTAAAAAAATGACACTTTGAATTTTGAAAGGAGTAATGAAATATAATAACAGTGTTTTTGTTTTAAAGCTATAGCAGAATTATACTAAATGTCTTTAGGCTACTGTTTTTCATAATGTAGCATCCGGACCAATCAGACACACACAGATTATTCATTATATTTAATGAATAATCCAGCAAACTCACTCTCCCAACAAAGGTCTATGAAACTTAAAAATCTAAAAATCACTGATCACAAGATCACGCCTCTTAGTTCTTTTCTGAAACCCTGATGTGAATATGATGCTGAACTAGAAGTTTTCTAAGGACCCCCAAGCTTGTGCCAGGCTGCGGCCTTTTCTTTCCATTCACCAAAGATCCTCTGTCTTCCACTGGTTCTCTCTCATCAAGCCTCAGCAAACTGCATCAGGACAGTTTAATTCAAATGGGCGAGACATGCAAGTATCAAACTTAGTCTCATTATTTGACACATTAAGTATCCTTACCCCTTTTTAAGAAGGGCGTGTTAGAACTAAACTGATGGTTTGCTCAGGCTGTTGATCTGCTGAACGTCAAACAATGCTATAACTTCTTGCTTTCCTGTATTCTGCTTCAGCTCTCTTTCCCTCTGTAAACTGTATGCATGTATGTATGTGTATGTTAGAGTAGTTTAAGTGTTTAGTCTAGTTAATAAAATCTTGTTCATGTCACATGTAAAGTTGTCCGTGTTTCAAGCTCATTATATACTGGAGTCCCTAATCATGCAGATTTTGACTACTTGCTCTTAGTAGTACTGTAAAGTAAGAAAGACATTTAGAATTAATAAACAATTAACATTAAGTTAATTCTATTAACTGATCCAAATATTCATAATCAATTATAACAAGTTATGATTGATTATTAATATTTATTTAGAGCTAATTTGCTACACAAATACAACAAACAATATAGTTACTTTTTTACCATAGTAGTGAGGTGCCATGCATGGTTTTAACTGTGGTTATCATAATCCAAATCCAAAATTCTATGGAAGACCAATGGTTAATTTTAATCCGAACTCAAACAGTCAGAATATTTATATATTTACCCAATAAAAATTAGGATGATATTTTTACAGATGTTACCAATTTTAATAATGAACAAATTTAATTCTGCATCCCAACTCAAGCTACTGCTACCGTCACTCAGCACAAGCTACTGTCAAATGTGCATTTATAAGAAACAATAAACAAACGCCATCGCACACCTGTAGGTGAAAAAATCTAGCGGCAACGTTTCGGTCTTACGACCTTCATCAGGCCTGATGATGCCTGATGAAGGTCGTAAGACCGAAACGTTGCCGCTAAATTAAAGTTTTATTTGCAATTACTGATAGTGTGCGGGAGTTCCTATTTGTACATTTATAAGAAACAAAACATGCAATATTCAGCTGTTTGGCAAATGTTTGTCATGCTCTGATAAAGAATAGTCAGGTGATAAAACCACAATTAACTGTCTGGTTTCTACAAATTTCACTCTGCCTTTAAACTTGTAAGAAATATAGATTTAACATTTATTGTGATAATTATCAATATCGACTGATATGAAAATTGAGTTGCCCTATTCAGACTAACTCCTTGCTTAGCAACACTGTCTTCAAGCTGTTGCTCTGCCATGACAGTTGCTGACCTGAAAGAGAAAACTGACCATTAAAAGACGACAAATCCCTCCACATATCACTGCGCATCAACACTGGGTACTTGCACTGCATGAATTATGGTGTGATGCATTTTTAAAGTAGCCTGGCTCTGCCTTCCTACGGACTGCCGCTCAATTTTCATTCTACTTCACTACTACGTCTGGGATTGTGCTGTATTAATTGTTTTTTTTCCGGTCAATTTTTTACCGGTCCAATCAGCGAACAGAGGGAGTGGCTGAGAACGATGACGTTGATGCCGTGCAATAGTGGGAGTCGTCATACGTCACGACCAAACGTTAGCGATTGGTTATGGCAGATCCAGAGTGGCTCTGGGCAGATCCAATAGTTTTAATTTAAACTTCAACAGAGGACCGCCTACAAGGAAGTTAACGCTTGTCAATGGAGCGAGGCCAGACTCGCTGTACAAATGAAATGTCTGGTGGGACCAGGCTATTTTTAAAGTACAACGCTGCACAAAATCTAGCTCTGGTAAGTAGCTAGAAACATCTGCATTCACATTCTTTTATAAATTGAGTGTGAGTGTAACTGATGAAAACTGCTCTGGACTGCGCTTCTCAAAAGCATCGTAAGCCCAGATCGCAGAACCATTGGGTCTCTAAGGCTAAAGTCACACTGCGAGCCTTAATGCTCAATTCGGATTTATTGCTCAGATATTTTTTGTATACCTGTTCACATTGTAGTTTTAAATGTGGCCAATATCAGATTCCAGTGCAAACAGATCATGGCCCTGAACTGACCCGCATGCGCAAAAGAAAGATAAAAAGACGTCACGCAGCACGCTGTCATACAGAAGTAAACACAGAGGACATTGTGATTATGCCTTTATTTAGTGCGATCTGTCGCGGAAGCCAGCGAATTTATGCGCAGGCAATATAAAAACAAAACAAAGACGAGGATGTGAAGAAAGAGAGCAGTTTTTAAACAATTATGAAACGAGCCTTCATGTTTTGCTTGTACATATAGAGCTGTCACTGTAATACCAATGAGCTCTGACACATCACTGTCCTTCACTGACTACCTTTCGCAACGGTCTTGATAACTTCAGGTATGTAAAAGCATTGTAGTGACTCCCATGAGACCAGTTTTGTGATGAATGTCAATCTAGAGAGATGTAAAATTTGCATGATTTCCAATATCTGTTCAGACTGAGGTCGCATTGCAAAACATCAGACCTGTATATGATTTAGGACAACATACTGATTGGCACAAATCAGTATTGGAAAGATCAGATTCCATGTGGTTTGTGCTGTTCACAATGTCATGAGAGAAACAGATCTGGGTCACATGTGAGGAAAAGAAAGAAATTCGGATTTGTGCCACATTTGCCTGCAGTCTGAACACGTAGCGTAACATCAACTTGGCTCACAATGCTTTCGAGAAACACAGCCCTGATCTCACCTCCAATCACAGAGCAGAAGCATTGCTTTTGTTTTACTTTCAGTGACAGTTTTAAAAGTAGATTCTCTTCCTGATCCACCCATTTCCCTCCCACAATCCACCGTGAACCTTCACAGCAGGAAGTGGCAGATATGCATTACTTCACAATCAGACCTGCCTTCATTTACAAACTCACAACTGCATGATATAGAGCACAGACATTTATTACAAGCGAGCAAACACAGCTAACTCCAAAGTGAACAGTTATAATGCTGTGAAATACACGAGAGCAAACTTGAGCACTTACTTGAGGCGTGCTGGAGTTTCTCTTCTGAATGAAGCTCGTGTCGTTCTCCACCAGCGCGGCCATTTGATTCTGCTGTTGATCTGACACACAGTCAACATAAACAAACTCAGTGCAAACTCATCAAAGCTGCATGTGTCTTTATCTAGTGTGTTCACGGATCATCAGATGAGTTAGCCGATGAGTCCTGACACGCGTCCAGAGGCCATATTCCTTTACTAAAACAACTTTAATACTCATTCGCCAAATCGTCATCAACATCGTCATCATAATCGCTAACGTCCATTCGCTAGCTTTCGTGATCTTTTAAGCGTTGTTTATCATCGCTCGTGTTATATAACTCAATGTAGGTCGCTGTAATGATCAACTCAACTTCCAAACTTAGCAAACAAGCTCAAGATTACGGTCACTCACTCTAGAAAAAAACAAAATCAACCAAATTCACGACGAACTCATTCAGATGGCTCCTATTAGCTATTACGAGGTGACCGTTGCTGTTTACGATCACTTACGAACAACATGATTTAGTGTTTTGGGCGAATCGATGTCAGTGTTTGACAACATAAATATCGCATTAAAATCCATCAAGTACAGTTGTCCTTTATGATGATTAAAGCTGATGAACACACTCAGATAGGATAAAATGAACTCACCGCTCATAATGTGTGAAGGCGCGAGTTTTTCACGCTTCTTTAAGTCTGTCATGAACTCTCAAACAACTCAACCAAACTTGATGAACAGAAAGGACGGAGTCAGTCAAAGCGGCGGGGGCGATGGACCAATCAAGAAACGAATCCCTTTCTCTCGGCCAATAGGATTCTTTGCTTTAACCGTTGTCATTTTGACGTTTAGAGATACTTTCTTATCATCATCTCGCTTCTATGCATGTATGAGACAGTAGTACTATGAACTACCACATTAAGTTAGTCAGCTAATTTTTTGTTCGTTTATTTTTATTTGAGAGTCAAAATCTCTAATTATGTAAGCTATTTAAACCAAAAGATGCAGAGAATGGCTTGAATATCTACTGGTGTAATATGTTTGTTAAAAATATATTTCGAATATATTTTCTAATTTCGAATAATAGTTCAGTCATTTTAATCCAAAATGGGGGTCAACCTAGAACAAATTACAACAGAGGCAAATTCAACTGATTTTGTATCCTCTATATGTCCTGAGTAAGGCAAAAAAAAGCCCAAAAGAATCCCATTAGGGGAAAGTTTCGAAACAGACCCAAATATACCCTATTCATACCATATGCATTCATTCTGTTTATCACGCGAATAGGGTAACATTTTTAACCTTTAGATATCACCATGAAAATTACTGAGTTGATTACTTACATCAAGACAAACAAAAAAATGTATTACAAGTTTTTTAAATTGTATGTTAACATGGGCAAATAGTGTATAATCAAACTACGTATGTGATAATTTGCATAAATACCACAAAATTAAAAAAAATATATATATTTTTTTTTATTTTTTTTACATTAACACAACTGTGGTACTGGTAAATCTCATAACAGCTCGTACAGCCAAATATTATCTTACAATCTTTATATATATTTGTTCATATATGCATATAAAATGATAACAAAAATAGAAATAATAGTTATAATACAACAGGGCATATCTGAGTAAATAAAAAACAGACACATTTTATAACACAACAGATCTAAACATTGGATATAGCCAGGTAAAAATGTCTTGTTGAATCTTGTTGAAATCTTACAGTAAAAGACTATAGAGGCAAACAAATGGGGCAGAGATTCAGTCATTCATTCAAGGTCACTCAACTGTCACTCAGGTAAGAAAAATGTGCTTTTGTTTCTCCTACATGGATTAATTTGATTGTTTGATCCTACCTTTTGTCTTCTGCATTCTCCTTACCCGTGTCTCCTGTTCTTCCCTCAGACTCGACCCCCAGAAACAGTCCCACTGCCCCAACCCCCAACCCCAACCCCCAACCCCCAACCCCCAACCCCCAACCCCCAACCCCCAACCCCAACCCCCAACCCCAACCCCAACCCCCAACCCCAACCCCCAACCCCAACCCCAACCCCCAACCCCAACCCCCAACCCCCAACCCCCAACCCCAACCCCCAACCCCCAACCCCCAACCCCAACCCCAACCCCCAACCCCAACCCCAACCCCCAACCCCAACCCCAACCCCCAACCCCCAACCCCCAACCCCCAACCCCCAACCCCAACCCCAACCCCAACCCCAACATACATGTTGATACATAAAATACATGAGTATAAGGTAAAACAACAAAGTGTTTTGCTTGTTGTGAATAAGATAACAGCACCAAAGAACACATTCGGAGTTCGACACGCAAAAGGGATCATTCGGATTTGAACCGGGACCTCTTGATCTGCAGTCAAATGCTCTACGACTGAACCCCCTTTCAGAAATGCCTTTTTCAAAGTTAAAAAATGTCCAAGGCATTTTCTCAAATACATCAGTATAAGGTAAAAGAACAAAGTGTTTTGCTTGTTGTGAACTACAATAACAGCACCAAAGAACACATTCGGAGTTGGATGCGCAAAGCACTCGGATTTGAACCGGGACCTCTTGATCTGCAGTCAAATGCTCTACCACTGAGCTATAACCCCTTTCAGAAAACTATTTAAAAATATATATATATATATCAGGAAATTTCTCAAATACACCAGTATAAGGTAAAAAAAAAATGAAGTGATTGGCTTGTTGGAAACTAGCATAACAGTACCAAAGATCACATTCAGATTGGGACATGATAAAGGGGGCACTCGGATTTGAACCGGGGACCTCTTGATCTGCAGTCAAATGCTCTACCACTGAGCTATACCCCCTTTTAGATAATTTTTTTCAAAGTAAAAAAAAAAATCTGAGGAAATTTCCTAAATTCGTCTGTATAAGGTAAAAAAAATGAAGTGATTGGGTTGTTGGAAACTAGCATAACAGTACCAAAGATCACATTCAGATTGGGACATGATAAAGGGGGCACCTGGATTTGAACAAGGGACTTCTTGATCTGCAGTCAAATGCTCTGCCACTGAGCTATACCCCCTGTCAGAGAACTTGTCAGGAAGCAGACAGACTGCCTAAATCGACCCTCTGCTAGCGGCCTCACGTCAGCAAGGTCAGATAAATCCCATCACATAGAGCCTCTTTCACCTAGATATCATCATATAGAGACTGTGTCTGTTCCCCGAATTTGGAAATCCAAAAAATGTCAGTTAAAAATGTAATTGATGTTCAACAAACAAAAAACAGATATAATACAGATGAGCAAATGATAAAGCTTGGGTTGCTGAATATTCGATCCCTTACTCCAAAATCCATAGTTAAAGTCCCCGTGAACCGGAAGTTGCAAACGACTTTTCCCCAGTGTTGTGACGTATTTCCGAGAGAAACGGAATACTAAATGAGGCAAAATGGTGGGCGTGGCTTTTTTCCCAACTAGCACCTGATTGGATCTAGAAAAGTAGGTGTTTTCATTCAGCCTGTCTACTGTCAGTTGGAGGGGCGTGATTACGGATGTTAAGAAGACGCCCAAACCGTGAAAACTACGTCATCAGGCAAGGTCCTCCAACGCAGAGGGGAGGGGAAATTTCAGATTTTGATTAAAGATTACGAAGCCAAAAATTTTTTTTGTGTGGATTGACTTGCATGGATGAATTGTTCACCACAAAACGATCAATTTAGGCAAACAAAGTAAGTATGGTCAATTTTGAATTCATGGGGACTTTAATGATATGATTTCAGACTATACCGTAATCTAGATGTGCTGTGTTTGACAGAAACCTGGTTAAAACCAAATGATTATATTACTTTAAATGAGTCAACCCCACAAGATTACAGTTATAAACATTGTAATGTTTACGGTTCCCTTACTCCAAAATCCATAGTTAAAGTCCCCGTGAACCGGAAGTTGCAAACGACTTTTCCCCAGTGTTGTGACGTATTTCCGAGAGAAACGGAATACTAAATGAGGCAAAATGGTGGGCGTGGCTTTTTTCCCAACTAGCACCTGATTGGATCTAGAAAAGTAGGTGTTTTCATTCAGCCTGTCTACTGTCAGTTGGAGGGGCGTGATTACGGATGTTAAGAAGACGCCCAAACCGTGAAAACTACGTCATCAGGCAAGGTCCTCCAACGCAGAGGGGAGGGGAAATTTCAGATTTTGATTAAAGATTACGAAGCCAAAAAAATTTTTTGTGTGGATTGACTTGCATGGATGAATTGTTCACCACAAAACGATCAATTTAGGCAAACAAAGTAAGTATGGTCAATTTTGAATTCATGGGGACTTTAATGATATGATTTCAGACTATAATCTAGATGTGCTGTGTTTGACAGAAACCTGGTTAAAACCAAATGATTATATTACTTTAAATGAGTCAACCCCACAAGATTACAGTTATAAACATTGTAATGTTTACGGTTTATAACATGTGACGTTGTTATATTATGTCCACATGTGATGTGTTTTAGTTTGTAAGCAGACATTGTTTATCGAGTCCACAAGGGGGCGTTAGAGTTATATAGTTGAGTTGAGTCTGCGGATGCAGCGGCGGGATTCAGAAAAAGAAGAAAAGGAGTGTTGACAAGAAAATGAAAGTTACAGTAACGGAGATTGAGAAGTTCATTATAAAGGTCTGAAAGCTACTTTGCTGTGTCAGTCATATTCAGAAACTTTACAAACATGAACCTCGTCTAAAAGGCAAAGGGGGAGGTGTTGCTGTAATTTATAGTAATATTTTCAAAACCACTAAGAAATCTAGTTTTAAATATACTTCTTTTGAAGTGTTGGTTCTTAATGTAAAAATATATAGTGTAAACGATAAATCACATTTGAGAATTCTGCTGGCTACTGTATACAGGCCACCAGGGCACCATAAAGATTTTATCAAAGAATTTGCGGACTTTCTATCAGAATTAGTATTGGCTGCAGATAAAGTACTAATTGTTGGTGATTTTAATATACATGATGTAGATAATGAAAAAGATGCATTGGGATTGGCATTTAAAGATATTGTAAACTCAATTGGAGTTAGACAACACGTGTCGGGACCTACTCATTGTCGTAATCATACTCTAGATCTAATACTATCACATGGAATAGATGTTGATGCTGTTGAAATTCTGCAGCAGAGCGATGACATCTCAGATCATTATCTAGTCTCATGTAAATAACATTTAGCCAAGGCTGCAAAGCCGACTCCGTGTTATAAATACGTTAGACCTATAACTTCTGCCACTAAAGATTGCTTTATCAATAATCTTCCTAATCAGTTTCATCATCTCAGCATCCCAGATAGCTTAGAAGAACTCGATATTGCAACAGAAACTTTTAACTCTCTCTTTTCCAGCACTTTAGACGCAGTTGCTCCATTGCGCTTAAAGAAGATTAAAGAAAATAGTCCACTCCGTGGTACAACGAGCACACCCAGGCCCTTAAGAGAGCAGCCAGAAAAATGGAGCGCAACTGGAAGAAAACTAAACTAGAGGTATTTCGGATTTCATGGAAAGAGAGCTTGATTGCTTACAGAGAGGCTTTAAAAGCTGCTAGATCTGCTTATTTTTCAACCCTATTAGAAGAAAATAAACATAATTCTAGGTATTTATTTGAAACAGTAGCTAAACTAACGAAAAAGAAAGCTTCAAGCTCAGAAGTGTCAAAGCAACACAGCAGTAATGACTTTATGAACTTCTTCACTTATAAGATCGATAATATCAGGGACAAAATTATAACTATGCAACCGTCTACCACAGTATC